CTGATCATTATCAAATTGCTGTTTGTGGGAGCTTCCTGTGCACACTGGCTGCCATGCCTTATAACAGTGGCTACACTTAGAAAAGTATTTCACAAGGTTTAAAGTGCTTTTGCACACTGCAAGCATGTGAAATTTGATCCATAAATACAAGTCTCTCTCTCTTTGGGAAATATTATTTTTCTTATAACTGCGCATTATAAAAATGCTTATGGAGAAAGTATCCCAGCCCACAGTGACATAGACATACAATATTGTATACAGGACTGTTATTATGGGATCATAAGTGTTTCAGTGAATAGGGACGTGTCATGCTGACTCCCTCTCCGTACTCAGGATAGCTGTCCTCCCAGACAGGAGAGTACAAATATTCCCAATGGTATTAGTCAAACACCGGTCACCTGAACAAGATCTGTCTGTAATTCACATCCCTAACTAAAGCAGGGTCTGATTCTACCCCATACCCACTCCCAAGAGCTGGCTCATTTTACCAATACACAAATACATGTAAGTTTAGGAGGTAAAACTTATCTTCATGTGACAAAGAAATGCACCATTGGGTTACAAACAGAATAAAGACCACAATGTAATTTTTAGACTTACAGCTGTAAGGATGAGAGATGTCTGTTTAGTTTCATATTCAGACTTCCAAGGCTGAATAGGGCAGCTTGTTAGCTCTTACCAAGGCATCACAATCACAGTTATGGCCTTGTAACAGTGCATTAAAAAAATATAGCATTTGACTAAATGTGATTTTTATATTAGAGTTAACTTTGTGACAATGTATTCAAGTTTGTAACTGTGTAATCCTTACACTTTAACCTATCCTGTTTAAGGATTTGTAGAAATTAGAAAACTTTCTGATCTTCTGAATCAAAGTAATATAAAGAATGCAAACTATTTCCAAGCATTCAACACATCAGAATCAAACCAGGAAAAATATACTGTTTGCAATAAGTGCCTGATTTAATAGTAACTAAGCAAGCATCAAGGCGTGAGATCAAGATATCAATCATTGAATCCTAACTGCATATGCTTCCTTTCTCCTTTCAATAAAGAAGTAAAGAATATTTATGTTAGTAAAATGAAAATGACAAAACTGATGAAGGGGATGGACCCATGGATACCTGACAGCTGAAGGAACCGGTCAGGAGAGAGTGGGAGGTTACATCAGTCAATGTCCATCACCCTTAAGAGTCAATTAGAAATTGACCATGCATCCTGTAAACCACTGTGTTGCATGAATCTACGAATCAGCAATAAACCCCATCTAGCCTCGGCCCACCTAGCCATGAGATGTGGCTTAGAAAGAGTTAATAAGTAGCAGCTTTCGGGGACCAAAGGTGTGCAAGATGTTTGAAGCTGTCCTGCTTCTGAAGTGGAAATCCTTGAGATATTGGAGGGAGGGAGGGAGAGAGACACAGAGACCGGCATCAACCTGGTGACACAAGATAACTCAAGACTGGCTTGATGACCATGGCTCTGAAATATGTGACCTCCGATAACAAAAACAATCAACCTTTATTGCAGGGGAGAACAACTGAACGTTACAACTCAAAAAGGCAACAATTCAATAACTTTCAAAGCTGACACCCAAAGACAGATACTGAAGATAAACATCATGTGGTGGGAAGACAATTGCTTGAGAAATCCAGCAATATCTTGGTGATCATTATAATATCTGAAAAGTTTCGAAATCATCTGAACCACATAGAGCCAAGATCAAATGGACAAAATCCCATTCATTCACAAGATGGTGTTTATCTTCTTAAGAATGACAATATCATCTGTTAATACTGGTAAGAACATTATGAACAACTCCTCAACTGTGAATCCACAGGGATAGCTGATACCCTCCAGTCTATCTCCCAGAGCCCTGTGGAAGAATCCATGGCTGAGTCACCATCAATGGGAAAGCTGCAATAAGCAATCATATAGATGAGAAACAACAAAACCTACAGTCCCAATGGTATTCCAGCTGAAAGCTTCAAAGTAGGGGAGTTTTGCTCACATCAAGACTGCATGCACTCATCCTATGGATTGGGGAAGAAAAAGGAATTCCCCAGCTCCAACCCAGAAAGGGATAATTGTAACTATAAAAAGAAAGAGAGAGGTCAAAGTGAACATGGGCCCCTTTGAAAATGAATCTGGTGAGATTGTTATGGGGAACAAGGAAATGGCAAAAGGAGTTAAACAGATATTTTGCATCAGTCTTTGCAGTGAAAGACACTTCAAATATCCCATTAATACTAAAGAATATGGGAGAGGAATTAAGTATCATCACCATCACCAGAGAAGCAGTATTAGACAAACTAATAGGGTTAAAAGCAGATAACTCCACTGCCCCTGATGGCTTGCATCCTGGGATCCTAAAAGTAGTAGCTAAAGAGATAGTGGATGCATTGGCTGCAATTTTCCAAAAATCCTTGAATTCTGGAGAAGTACCACGAGATTGGAAAACTGCCAATGTGATACCCCTATTCAAAAAGGAGGGAGGCAAAAAGTGGATAATCATAGGCTAATGAGCTTAACACCTATTGTTGAAACAATGTTGGAATTAAGTATTAAGCAAGTATTAGCAGAACATTTGGAAAATCATAATCTGATCAAGCAGAATCAGCATGGCTTCATAAAAGGGAAATCGTATTGGACTAATTTATTACTTTTTTAGGAGGAAATCTCAGCCACAGTGGATAGAGTGGAACCAGTGGATGTGTTGTATTTGGACTTCCAGAAGGCATTCAACAAGGTACATCACAAAAGGTCATAAGACTTAGCATGCTGTTGAACGTATGGCATGGATACAGAATTGGCTAATGGGCAGAAAACAGTGAGTGGAGATAAGGAGTGCTTTTTCAGGTTGGCGAGCCATGACTAGTAGCATTTCACAAGGCTCAGTGCTGGGACCCCAATTGCACAACTGTTTACAATAATTACTTGCAGAAAGGAAGTGAATGCACTATAGCCAAATTTGCAGATGACACAAAAATAAGTGGAAGCCAGGTTGTGAGTGGGATACATTCAGCTTTCACAGCAATACTGATGGAACAGCAAAGTGGGCAAGAAGTTGGCAAATGGAGAATAATGTAGGCAAATGTGAAATTGTTTGAAGGGAGAACAAAAACAGCAATATTTAAATGGAGGAAAACTGCAAGAGACTTCGGGGTACTTGTACATGCAACACAGAAAGCTAGCACACAGGTGCAGCATGTAATCAGGAATGCTAATAGAATGTTGGCCCTTATTTCAAGGGCCTTGGAGTATAAGGGTGAGGAAATATTACTGTAACTGTCCAAGGTGCTGGTAATACCACATCTGGATTGTTATGAGCAATTTTGGTACCCTTAAAAGGAAAGATATTATTTCATTGGAGGCATTTCAGAGAAGGTTCTCTGGAATGATCCCTGGTATGGAGTGATTGCCTTATGAGCAAAGGCTAAACAGGTTGGAACTCTACTCACTGGAGTTTAGAAGGGAGAGAGGTGATCTCATTGAAACTTACAGGATTCTTAAGGAACTTGATAGGGTAAGCACTGAGAGGATATTTTCCCTCATGGGGGAGTCTAGAACCAGAGGGCATAGTCTCAGAATAAAGAGGCACTAATTTAAGGCAGATGAGAATTTTTGTTTTCTCTCAGAGGGTTATGAGTCTTTAGAACTCTTTGCAACAGAGAACTGTGGGAGCATGGGCCTTGTATATATTTAAGGCTGAGATCAATTCTAGATCAGTGGGGGAATCAAAGGTTATGGGGAGGATCAGGAAAATGGACGTCAGGAATGTCAAATCGGTTATTATTCTATTGATGGTGGAGAAGGTTCGAAGAGCGAAACAGCCTACTCCTGCTCCTATTTCTTATGGTCTTATCTTCAAAACTATTGAGATACTTCCCTCATGTTCACAGCATGGAAAAGTTCTGACACACATTCTCCAAAATCACCAACTTTCTGTGGCTGATGAAAGCCTTCCAGAGATACAGTGACATTTCTTCCTATCGCTCTTCTTTATCTCTGTGTTAATTTATGTTTGGTTACATTTCAATGAAACACTTTGGGATGTTTTACGACACTATGATGCTATGTAAATACAAACTGCTGTCCTCTCACATTCCCTCTAATTCCTCCTGGAGGACAGACTGTGGAGATTGACTGGCCTCCAGTGCACTGTTCAAGTGCCCATTCAGCATGCGGAGAGTCAGACAGTGAAGGTTGTGAGACAATGGAGACTGTCACAGCCAAGACACATCCTGCCCTCCCCAACTTCCCAGCTGGGCTCACTGATGAGGAAAGGGATTCTTGGCTGATTTTCCACCTCGACAGGCCATAGACATTGGGGCTAATTGAAGTACCTCCGTTACTACCCGAGGAATGGCTCCTCCCCCAGGTGCTTGTGCTGGTCGATCAGAAGCAGAAGCCTTTCTAACCACTGAGTATCTGATTGTCTTCTTGTCAGAGTGAGAGTCAATGAGTGACTTGTACCTGACACTGCACTGAAAGGATGCTGAGTTTACACAGGAGCTTCAATACATATTGATGTCCTCTTTTGGTGGTGTTTAGTGATCAGATCAAAGGTTAAATTGACTTTCTTGAAATTACTGAATTGACAGTGAGAGAGGTTTGAGACAGACAGTGCTTTGGAATGACAGCTCGCTGTGTGAGCACGGGAGGGGAAACAACACAGACAGCTCTCGGTGCAATAGAAGTAGTGATCCGGTTCCATGTCCGTCTGGAGACATTGGTGGAGACATTGGTGTCTGGTGAGAGATGAGGAGGAAGTGAAACAATCCTGACACACGTCAAACTGGAAGGGTTTGTCTCCTGTTTGGGTCAAGTGATGTTCCAGCAGGTCTGACAACTGTGTCAGGTATTAACACAGAAACCTCAAATATGAAGCTTCTCACAAACACACATTGATAAACCTGGAGATACATGAACTGTATGGAAGCACTGACACGTTCCTCATACATGAACAGTTTCTCACTGGAGTGAATTTGCTGATGCTTCAGTAGATTGGAGGAGTGGGTGAAAGCTTTGTTGCAAGCTCTGCACCAGACTGTTACTCCCCTATATGAATCTTCTGCTGAAGGAGGAGGATTGAAGACCCTGAAAATGATGTGTCACACGTCTTGCATGAGAACAGATTCCCTATCTGTGTGAATGCGTTGATGTTTCACAAGTGTCGAGGACTGTGTAAAGGCTCGGTCACAAACCTCACATTTAAAGGGTTTCTCTCCTGTGTGAATTCTCTGGTGCCTCAGGAGATCGGAGAATTGGATGAAAGCTATTTCACAAAATTCACATCGGAAAGGTTTTTCTCCAGTGTGAATCATCTGGTGTATCAGGAGGCTTGAAGATCTCACAAAAGCTTTACCACAAACTGCGCACTTGAAAGGTTTCTCCCCTGTGTGGATCTTCTGATGCACCATGAGGCTTCCTAACTGTGAAAAGGATTTATTGCACACCTCACACTTGAATGGCTTCTCTCCTGTGTGAATGCGTTGGTGTGCGTGGAGGGTGGATGACTGCGCAAATGATTTGTCACACACTTCGCACGTGAATGGTTTCTCCCCAGTGTGAACACGTTGGTGTCCAAGGAGAGATGATGACCTCGAGAATGACTTGTCACACACCTCACACTTGAACGGTTTCTCCCCTGTGTGAATACGGTGGTGTTCACGTAGGGTCGTTGAATGTGAGAATGATTTACTGCAGACCTCACACATGAATGGTTTCTCACCTGTGTGAATGCTACGATGTGAGCGAAGCGTTGATAACTGTGTAAAGGACTGGTCACACACTTCGCATGTGAACGGTTTCTCCCCAGTGTGAACACGTTGGTGTACACGGAGGGAAGAAGAGTCTGAGAATGATTTGTTGCACACTTCACATGTTAATAATTTCTCTCCCGTATGCATCCGTCTGTGTCTCTGAAGGTTCCATGATGTTGAGAAAGACTTTTCACAGAACTCGCACCGAAAGAGCTTCTCATTTCCATGAATGTGCTGGTTATTCGAGAGTGTTGATGACTGTATGCAAACCTGGTCAGGCACCTCACACTTGAGGTCTTCCATGTCGTTGTTGGGTTCCTTGGGTGATGGTCAGGATCTTTCTGTGGTGTCTACCATCTCTGTATTCTCTGGTGTGGTGCAGTGCAATCCTTCTGTAAAACAGGGAAAAGAAACATAATTTCCATAAACTCCTTCACCTCCTTTGCTGAACGGGCTGACTCCTCAGTTAAGACATTTTTTCAACAGTGAGTGCCAGTCTGCTTTTACTGTGTGGGTGGAGGGGGTTGGGGTGGGTGGGTGGTTGGAGGTGCGGTGCATCAAATATTGTACTTTTCCTCACTTGACAGTCATGCATCCTCTGTTTCCAGCAGGGATAGTGACCAAGAACAACAAAGTGACTACTTTCTTTACTCTCATCTTCCTAGGTGACATGATGAAAATGGAAAAGACAGTTCGGCAGACAGTAAAACGGGCTGCCAATTTACGATGAGTTTGTTTCATGCTGGTAAAGGTCAGTTTTACTGTTAGAGTATGTGTTTAAAATCAAATAATTCAAGAGAAATGTTAATCCAATGGAGATTTTGAAATTTTCCCCTTGTTTTGTAAAGTTCTTTGAAGAAAATGCACTGTGCACGAAATGCTAGTAATTGAGGAAATATTGCTGATTGAACTGCTCTCGTTTATTCTGGGAAATTAGATATACTGCACTCACTCAGACTGTACATCCCAAATTCAGCTATCAGCTGCAGCACGGGGCAAAACTATCAAATCAAAGCCCAGGCTTTTAGGAAAGGTCAAGGACTTCAGGTAAAATCCTTAAAGAAGGCATTCCCAGGTATGGCAGCTGAATTGTTACGGAGATCACAGAGATGGAGAGGGGCAAAGTCATGGAGGCATTTGAAAACAAAGAGAAGAATTTTAAAACTGTGGTGTTGCTTAATCAGCAAGCACAGGGGTTATTGGATATTGGATCATGGTGTCAGATAGGACCTGGACAGCAGAGTTTTGGAGACACATAGGTTTACAAGCATGATATGAGAGCATCCTGGAGAGCCCTGTAACAGTCAAGACTTGACCTAGAAAGGAATGAATGATGATTTCAGCAGCATATGATCTGAGGCAGGACATTTCTGGTCTCTCCTGTGAGCGGATCTTGCATTTCTTCCTGTGTACAGTGTCTCTGTTCCTGACCAATGTCAGGAAATGACAGTGACAGCCGGGGATAGTAATGCAAAACCTTTGATAGAATCAGAAGTCATAGTATTGTCTGGCATTAAAGGTTTTAATGCAAGTCTTCGTTTGGGAAAGCCAGGCAAAATACACAGAAAACTGACCGTTCACAGTTCACAGGATAATAACCAGCTCCCAACACACACACACACACACACACAGCTCAGCAAAAGGAAAACAGTAAGAATCCTCAGAAACTCTGCACCTCCCAGAAAATTACACCTCACCTTCTCGTATTCAGGAATGAGCCATTAACAAAACTCAGCCTGGAAATCAGAAGGGAAATGCTTCCAATAAATACACTCAATATCCAACACACAGCTCCAGTCAAACAGTTCAGCACAAAGCACCGAGTAAACAGCTCTCTCAGCTGGATCTTCTCACACAGCATAAGGGACATTTCCACCCCTGACTGCCCACAGGATAGTCAGACTGCCTGAAGATTGGTGTGGATATCATGGGATACAATTTGTATAAAAGCTACTCCTTCACTCACCATCTCCTCACTTGGTTTTCAGTCTCTATAGGAAATGAACCCGCTCTGGAAGAGGAAGAGGAGTGAATGGGCAGAGTAGGTGGGCTCTCTGATTGACGTCTCTCACAGTCAATCCAAATATTTCTGCAGCAACAGGAGTTTCCTGAAGCTTGGGAGACTGACCGCTGAAATGGAAGTGACTTTGAGCAGCAGATCAGGTGGCGATTTAAACTTGTCATTGTCCCGTCCGAATAAAACCTCACTTATTGCAGCTGCTGTCTCGGTCCCCCTCGTAAATGTTTGACAGTCCGGAAATAGCATTCTTCATCATTGGAGGTTTTCAAACTGACAACATCAGTGTGGGATGTGTATCCTCGGATGTGTTTGACAGCAAATCTGAGCCGGAAGATCCACAACATCCAAGGCAGTGATGACGTGTAATAGTAGGATCAGCAAATAAATAGGCGAGTGTGTTGCAGGATAAAATAGCACTGGAAGGACGGGAGCAAATTATTCTGAATTACTTAAATTATATTGCTTCCTGTGAACTGGAAAATGATTGACTATTTTTCACCCCAAAGTGTTCTCTGTATCACTGATTGGTTTCAGAATAAATACTTATTATAATTGTAATGAAGTCAGACAGCTGGATATTATAGAATGGGAGCTCCCTGACTGGAGCTGTTAATCTGGTCCAATCAGGGAGTCCTGACTGACAGATTTAAAAAGGGAGTGTCAGATATGCTGACACTCTGGTAGCTGACTCTAACTGAAACAATACTAAAGTCAAGAACTGTTCACTGGTAAATAAAGAGTGTCTTGGTGATGGATAGCTGCCTCTGTGGAGTTATTTCAGTATTGACTACATTTCATTCTGGACGGTAATGGAGGGTGAAAAGAAATACAGGTTTAATCAAAGTGTATCAGTTCAGAAAATCAGGTCAGAGAAAAAAAAATCGACCCGTCTGAAGGGAAAGGGAAAATGTTTGTGAGAGAATAAGGGTAAAAAGAGATGATAGGAATTTTAGGAGATCATATGATCTATGTTGATATATACAGGTCTGTGATCTATAGGATTTAAAACAGATCTCCAGTGGACAACCTCATAATTTGTGCATATTTTATTCACTTATGGGATGTGGGTGTCACTAGTTGGGACATATTTATTGCCCATCCCTAGTTACCGTTGAAGAGGTGGTGGTGAGCTGTCTTCTTCAACTGCTACCAGAGCAGCAAAGATTACTAAACTTTATCCCTTAGTTTAAAAAAAAAGAATTGATTAACAACAGACTCACCACTTCAGGAACTCTAAATGTGACAATGTTACTGGACTCTGTCAAATTAAACTAAAAACAACAGACAAAAATACAGAGATAACAAGGTGTAGAGCTGGATGAACACAGCAGGCCAAGCAGCATCAGAGGAGCAGGAAAGCTGATGTTTCGGGCCTAGACTCTTCTTCAGAAATGGGGGAGGGGAAGGGGGTTCTGAAATAAATAGGGAGAGAGGGGGAGGCAGA